TCATGAAGCCTGCTGCTGCTTCACAGCCCACCCTCCCTGTGTTGCAGCCTGGAGACTGCCCAGGCAGTAAGCCAGGACAATCTCATTCATTTCATATCTCCCAAGGATCACGGTCCTTCCTTGCTTTATGGCCATTGTCTTGAAAATCATTATTTCATATATTTTGTCTGATTTCCTAGTTGTTTCAGGTGGGAAGATAAATGTGGTCCCTGACACTCCATCTTGGCTAAAGGCAGATGTCAGGACGACAAATTTAAAGGCAATGTTGGGACCATGATCAGTTCATTACATGATATCCATTTCAATCCTCAAGGGCATTTAAGGATAATAATGGTTATAAAGATCGATTTGGCTTTGGATCACAAGACCTTGCTGGTTGGTGCTGAATGTCTCTGGAGTTTTACATAATGCTTAAATTTTCATGGCCCTGAGGAATTCAATATAGAGAAGTGCTGATTCTAGAGATGTACCCAGATAGATTAGTTCTCTGCTCCCCCATCTACACATCCAAGATAGGAACCAGAGTTATCCAGGAAGGTAATAGCAACATATGTATCAGCTCAAAGGATTGGATGCTTACTTTATGACAGACCCAGTTCTCAGTATCTTACATGTATTAACTCACCAGGAGTCTCAGATTTTAACAATGATTTTCATTAATGCACAAAGAGTGATGGCCACCAAGAAGCAGGCTGCAGTCCCTCACTACCAGATTTACACTGTCCTGGGAGGAAGCCACAGGAAAGGTCCATATCAACCCCTGTAAGACCTCTGACAGAGTCTAACATGTATGTTGGGGAACTAGATGGATAAATGTGGACTCGGGCTTAGAGAGCCAATTCACTATATGAGGAGGCCTGTAAGGGTTTCTTCCTCACCTGTGAGCTTGTCTACAGTTTCATCAGTGGTTGGGTTAACATAAGAACTTGAATTTACTGTTAGGGTCATGAATGGATCTCAGAACAACATATACTTGTTGAACACCTACTATGTTCCAGGTACTGACGAAGGCATTTGTAAATAGTGTGGAAAAGTAAGATTCTTGTCCTGGAAAGATTTAAAAGCTAGAAGAGGGAGATTATCAAAACAATAGAAAACAATAGTCACGGGGACATCACTGGTGGTCCAGTGGTTAAGAATCCGCCCTGCAATGCAGGGGACGCAGGTTCAATCCCTTGTTGAGGAAGATCCCACATTCCACAGAGCAACTATGCCTGTGCACCAGACCTACTGAACCTGCACACCACAACTAGAGTCCTTCCCACCACATGGCACATCTAAGACCGGATGCAGTTAAATAAATAAATATTTAAAAACAACAGTCATGTAAACAAGCAAATTATATAGCATGTTAAAAGGTAAGTTTATAAAAGCAATGTTTTCCCTTAGGGGATCAGGAGATCTGGGTACTGTAAAGGTGATGGGGGGAGTTACCAGATGGCAAATTTATATACAGAAGTAGGCTTCCCTGAGAAGGTTACATCTGAGCAAACGAACTCAAAATGAGGGGCCCAGTCACGTGGACAATTGAGAGAAGAGCGTCCAGGTAGAGGGAACAGCAGGAAGCATAGGGCATCCCCGCTGGGAGCAGGCCTTTCAGTTTGAGGGGGAGCAGGAAGGCAAGCAGAACCAGAATAGAGTAGGTGAAAGGGAGATAACAAGGGGATGAGGATCAGGAGGAAGGTGGGGGCTCACCCCAGCACAGAGTCAGTTTTGCAGGAAGAAAGGAACAGTTCAACATGTGTGCCTATCACACTGAGCATCAACTCAAACAGACCTACAAGGGCACAAACAAGCAAAACGCTGGTCAAGTGAGCCTGAGAGTCCCACAGGGTGGTGCCCGGGGCTCTCCGACGATCTGCCCCAGCCGGGGGCAACATTCCCCAAGGCCTGGGTCCCAGCAGGCAACTGTCTGTCTCCTCCGCCAGCACATCTCTGGCATTAGTGTGACCTCTTCTCCAGCGTGAGAAGTTACTGCTTTCTAACTGGTAGAGTCATGCCGAAGGAGGCACCACCAGCCTTGTAAGCAGGACAATCAGCACGAGCTGAGGCTAACGCCCAGCCAGCTGAGCTCGTGGACGCACCTCCATGCCCCTAAGGAGTCATTCTTGCTGAGACAGGCTAATGCCTGGCACCTGGGCGCCTCTGCTGCAGTGCCTGCACCTGGACAAACGTCTCTTCGAGCAACAAAATACAAAAAGTACAAGGGACTAAAAATAACCACGTATATGCGCAGTTGGAGCATATTGGTCAGCAAGATAGAGAACTGTTAAAGAAAAACCCAAAACAAAACCCAACTGCCACTTCTGAAGAGCCAGCGGCAAAAAAAGGGTGTTGAGAACAAAATCAGGGCACTGCACATCCCCCTGCACTCAGTACCACCTAAGGGTTGGGCAAATCACCTGAACCACCCCTCCAGCCCAACCCCTGGACACACTGCTCGCTCCAGGTAAGGAACCCTCAGGAAGCGAGCAAGAATGGGAACCTGTTAGTTGTTCCCCCTGCTGCAGCAGGGGCCCCAATAAATAAAGCCTTGCCTGAATTTCTTGTTTGGCCTCTGATCAATTTCTATTGATTAAAGAGGCCAAGAACTCTGGTCAGTAACACTGCTAGGATTTGGGGAGAAAAATGCCAACTTTGTTTTGGTATTGGTGGAATTCTCAGAAAAGGCAAGCAGGAAAGCATATTTCATGGTTCTTGGTGAGCTGCAGGAATAAACGCTCAGGTGCACTGTAACTTACAAAGCAAAAAGATCTCACTTTATGTAGCCATATTTTGAGCTCCAAGAGAGAAGCTAAGCTGATCATGACTTGCTGCTCTCTCACTGTTCTCTTGGAGCAAAAAGATGCCAACAAAGAAAATAAAGTATCAAGTCACCTTCCTCTCCTTTGGAATCTGTCTTCGAATAAACAGAGCCTGCCTTTTCTCCTGCAGGAATAGTCACATCTGTGCTTGGTCTTTAGCCCATTCCTTTCTGGCTGAGTGACCTTGGTCCATCACCTAGACTCTATTTTTTATTGTTAAGTGGGGTTCAAAGCTCCTGTCCTCGAGGGGTACAGTCAGGGTTTCATGTGACAATGCAAGAAAGAGTCTAGCCTGGTGGATCATGAGCCTCCAGGAGTTGTACACCCTTTCTGTCATCACTGCTGACCCAACTGGTATGCAACAGTCTGGCTCCTAGAAGCCAGTATCTCAGGGCAGCCTGTGTCCAGCTCCCACCTGTCAATCCTGCTCACCCGTGGGGCCAGTGCAGCCTGGTCTTCGGGGCAGGGAATACTCCACAGTGGGCAGAGTGGCAAGGCATGTCCACTGACTCAGCTGGGTGCTTCCCTTTTCTCCCGCTTGGGTGCCCGGGCACTCCCACCCTTCTTGAATGCTCGGGGTCCTCCTCTAGGATACCATGCACACAGATCTCCTGCTGCCACCGCACCACCAAAGGGCCCTCTGAAACCTGCCCTCTCCAGGAGTTCTGTGCCATCACGAACTTTAAGGGCAGGCCTCTTGGCCAGCATATGGTACCTGAACAGTTAGGCCTTAACATCAAGGCAGATGGTGAGCACTGGACACGGTGGCAGACCACTGGGGTTGATCAGATCCTGGGACTGGTCCCATCTTCCCAGGGAGGTGTCCTTCAACCCAGCGATGTGAAATGGGAGGCAGTTTCCTGTTACCAGGGCCTGGAAGGGACCCTTGCTGACACCTCCACAGGGGAATGGGAGAGAAAGATTCTAGACAACTCTGCGGATAAACGTCCTTTGAGGAAACAGCAGGCAGGAGGCGCTGGCCTGGTCGTGAGGCACAGCCCTCTTCCACACCCTGAACAACGGCAGGCAGTGTCCCCCCTGCGGATTCCACCCAGACTTCCTGAACCAATTCACACACAGCCAGGAAACGCTCAAGAGGCAGCAGCCTGCCTCCCAGGGTCCAGGCTGACCTGCTGGGCTGGCCAGGATCCCGCCCGAGGTCTCATTCTGAAGGCACAGTCCCGGGCTATCTTGGAGTTGCTCCCATCCTGAGTTCTTGCTCTGGGCACCTGCCCAGCCCTGCAGGCTGCCTCCCTCAGACTAGATGCTGCCCTGAGCTCCAGGCCGACTGCCACTGGGTGGCTCCTGAGTCCCACTCATCCCGAGATGGTCCTCCTGCCCCACAACGACTCTGGCTCTGCCCCTCTCCTGAGCCAGCTGCCAACTTCCGGCTGGACCGCAGGCTGCTCTGGCCTCCCCCAGGGACCCGGACACATCCTTCTTGGCACACTTCCACCCACAGGAGGGGCCCTGCTACCTGCAGCATGGTCAGAAAGTGTGTGCCCTGGGGGTGAACAGACTTGAGTCAAATCCTTTTTCTACTTACTTCCTGGCCAAGCCATTCTGAATGATCAGTTCACCCCTTTCACCCCTGAGGCTTGGTGTTACCATCTGTACCCTGGGGAGAGTAACCTGGGGAGTCTGTGGTAATCGTTCACTGGGATTTTGGCACGTTGGAAGCTTTAGGGCAAAACACGTGGGCACTGCTCAGAAAATGATAACATTTTAATGGGGTTATTAACACTATTATCATATAATCAACTTATCATTTGCTAAATGCTCTCCGTATGACACCCTCCAACATCAAGTAGTTTTTAGCTCTCTTCTATATCTGTGAGGATTTGGTATCAGGCAACAATGCATCACCTCCAAGAGGAACAGACTCATTAACTTTCTTCTCAGTGTCTTAATATTACCATGTCTTAATATTACAAAGAAAGAAAGACCTCTATATTAAAAAACAAAACAAAGCAAAATATTAGGCTCTTAGTGTCAGCCGTAACTCTGAACCAACCCCTTGCAAAGCTCCTGTGTAAGACAGTACGTGTGTGTGCATGTGTGACTCACACTGGGTGCTCCGTGCATGCATGTATGCATATACATGTATATGTGTGTGTGGAGTGTAAATACCTGTATCCACCAACAGAAGCCAGATGCTCCTGCCTGAGCCAGCCCTCCCCTCCCGAGGCAGCTTACCTCCATGTTTCTGCAGAAGGTGGCATTGGTGCCAAAGAGGATCTGGCACTGCTCGTTGGCACTGTAGTGCATGCCTGGCAGCTTGTGGGGCAGGCGCACTGCGTGCTGGCTCCTGGGGTCTGTGACCAGTAAACAGGTGCTGATTTTCGACCTGAAACAGCCAAGAGGATAGTTGGTTTGCAAAGGTACCTCCCAGGTTTTTGTTCTACTCTGCCAGTAACTAAGCAGCAGTATTCTCCAAGTCATTTATGGGGAGACGACCAAGCACTGGACACAGGACTACACCTTTGCTCTTTTCCAGATAGCTGAATACAGATCTTTACTCGGGAGGCCACGAGAGCAGGGCAACAAGAAGTGGCCCAGGCATATCACCCACATAGCAATGTATTTTTCTTGGGGAGTCTGAGTGCTTTCTTGGATGAAAATGCTTTTGAAATAGATTGCTATGATATGTTCTCAGAATGAATCAAGAAAAAATTGGAGTTAGGGTTATTTTGCTTTTAAATAAATAAGCAAACAATTAAGCAGGCAAGCTTATTTGCAATTCTGCAGACTTTCTTAGGGGCAGGCTCTGTCAGGTTCTGGACACTGGCTAGTCCAGGTGCCCTACCTGGCCATGAAAGCTGGCTGGTGGCACACCATGCAAAAGACTTAAAGATTTCAACCAGGACAGAAATGTTCAGCGATGTTGAGAACGCTCTGACAAACAACTGGGGGGTGGTATGGCTGTGGCTCCTTTAGGAGTTAAATACTTGAATGCTTTTATTTTTCAATTCCTAAAACAAGGCAGATGGTAGGAAAAAGAAAACCCAGCCTCTTGCCAAGATTCTTGAAGAAAAGAGTTGCATGCACGCAATACACACAGGCTGACTATATTAAAACTAACAAGGCCATTTTTAAGCCCTTAGTTTCCCAGCTACAGGAAACATCATAAAAGAAGACCCAGGATGAGGACAGAAGCCAGAATGATCCCTTTGATCCTCCATCCTGAGTTTACTGAGCACTCCACTGTGTTACAGGACTATAAAGCTCTGTGTATAGCAGAGACTCACTGACCCCTTCTGTCTCCATGGGGGGTACAGATGATGCAGTTAAGTGGTAAAGCAATTGGGGTCTGCCTGTCAAACCTATAAGTTCAGCCCTGAGGTCCTGACACTAAGGGACACACATAGTACTTGAGTACAGACTCTATTTGACAAAGGTCTGACATCAGATAGCTAATTCTTCCACTGAACTCTGAGAACGGAGTAAGGCAGACACATTCTGGAATGAAAGTGGTTCTGAGATAAACCCGTCCTAGCCCCACATGTGAGGAAGGTAAAGCAAGCCCTCCTCCCAGCAAATGGACTTCCATCCAGGGAAACAGCCTGAGCTTTGGGGAAGCACCCAGTTCTACAGCAGCCAGGGGTGCCACTGAGGTGGTGCCTACTCTCGGTCAAAATAATGAAGAGAAGTGAAATAAAACCTTGACAAGGTATGGTCACTGCATGACATTTCCGTTGATAAAATTTGTGACCAGCAGCAGGGTGGCCAACGTCATACCAGACATGCCTGGAAGGAAGTCTCTCCAGCTGAACTGGAGAGATTCACTTCTGCTCCTACTGGCTGATACCCCGACTACTGTGTTATAGGAAGTACTGTAGCACATTCTACTGTACTGATGGTACAGAACAATTTGAAGACTTACTTGAGGAAGTTCTCGAGGTCATCTCGACTGCAGGAGGACCAGGAGAGGTCGCTGGGGCTCCGGCCTTTCACCCACTCTCCCGACATGATGTGGGACCTGCCAGCGCAGGAGGAGTGGTCATCGTCGTGGTTCATCCCCAAGCTGCCCGAGGGAGAGGGGGAGAGGGCGCTCATTACAGGCTTCTCATCTCCTGGCCCGGACGCCAGCACCCTGTGCCCACCTAGATCACAGCTCAGTCACACACAGTAGCACAGGAGACGCCTGCTTCCCTGCCATTCTCAGAGCGGACCGCGAGTCACGAGCTTAAAGAGAAAGAGTGAGGGTGATGACTCGCTTACTCAGTGAGCGGAAACTAATTGACCATGTAACCAACAGCATTCACCTAACAAATGAATGATAAATGAATGAACCAATTATATTAAATGCAATATTAGAGTTCTTCTGATGGTTAGACTTGCTTTTCCATACTAACATATCCTAGTGTAATGCTTCAGTATCTCACTGCCTGCAGAGAAGTCACTATGCTAAGGGCTGGTGCCAGCCAAGACTCTGACTTATGAAAACTCATGAACACTCATGGCTTTTGGTTCACATCACTATACCTGGGTCCACCAAGATCAGACCTATCTCCTTCCCCACCCAGTTGTACCTGGAAGAAAACAGGATGCTGATGTAGATGAGGGAGGCTAACTGTAAGGTAAGCGGAACAATGGTCTCAGTTCACAAATAGGCTGCCAGTGAGAGGAAGCTGAGGAACAGAACACCGGCGATCAGATGGCCCACCATCTGCTGACCCGTGACCTCCAGGGCAGAGAGTGCGTAAGGGTTGCTCACTCTTTGTCAACAGCCCCGTGGAAAACACATACATGCTCCTTCCTTCAAACATATTTAAGAGAGGTTTCTCAAGGGCCAGAAACAGCCTTGAAAGAGAAGATACAATGGGGCATGATAAGCCATCAAATCAGCCTGGGAGAGGAGACAGACCCAAACAGAGCCAAGAGGTTGTAAACGCGTCTCTGCAGCCTTATTTCTCCCAGTTCTCCTCACGTGCCTCCGACCATCTTTCATCAGTTCTTCTGTGTTCTCACTCCACTCGGTTCTCTCACCACTCGGTGTTCCTGTACAGAGAGGCTACCTTGGCCACCCCCACATGAAACTGGGGAGCTGACCCCACTCCCATCGCTGGAACAACAGGGCCTGGCACCCAAGCTCCTGCTCCAGGTGAGCAGGGCCCCCTCTGGTCACCCAGCAGGTCTGTTCCTATAGTTGAGGGCATACATACCAAAGGTGAACTGAATTTATTCTCAAAGATATTTATAATACTTGTTATTTCAATCAATACATGTGGTTACATGTTATGTTAACCAGCGTAATATGAGCATAAAAGTAAAGTTTTCATGAAAAGCAATTTAGCTAGAAGTTAAACTAGGCTGCTGCCAAGCTGGGTGTGGGCAAAACAACGGTAAAAGTTGAGGAGAAAATCATAAAAATCTGCCCTTAGACTGTTTCACAAGGGTCTTTCAAGGTCTGCTGAATCTAAAAAAAGAAAAGAAAAAAAAGACACTGAACTCAAGCTCATCGCACTGTAGTTGTGGTTTCTGTAAGGAAGGTGATGGGAAGCCCAGTCAGCTTCCCTCAGAGAAAAGGCTTTCGCCCCCACCACAAAATTGGTGACAAAATGAAAGTTTTCATTACTTAAGTCAAAACAAAATGGCCAAATGTTTAAGAACCTAAGTGTAATTTCTTTGCATTTCCCCTCCTGACCCAGTTTTTCAGTTAATGGCTCAGCTGACCAACCACTACCCTGTTATCCTGTCAGACAGGAAGGTTTCTGCAGTGCCGCCTACACATTGGCGCCCCCTTCCCCTCAGTCCAGGCCTCTCCTGCCAAACCTCTCCCTGAAAAATGACCGCTCCTGGGATTTCCCATGGCTCTTCCACCCCACCAGGTGCCCTCAGTGCCGCTTTCCATCCCAGCCTGTCCACCCATGACTGACACAGAGCAAGTACTCTATAACTATTTATCAAGTGGATTAACTATTTGATGTAGGAGAAAACATCAAAAAATTGGAGGATCCACATCCACAGTAGCTGTGCTGGTCTAGGGCAGCGGCCTGCTCAACAAAACAATGAAAACCATCTCTGGGTAGATGCAATCTTGTTTTCCTGCCTCAATGCCAGGAATCCATCCAATTATGGTTAAGTAGAGAGCCTAGAAATTATCAGATACATCTGACCAATAAGGATAATTTTCCAATGGTATTACTCAGGTTTTTGCTTTTTTTTCCTGCTTGTTATCTGTGGCTCAACTGATAAAGAATCTGCCTGAAATGCGGGAGACCTGTGTTTGATCCCTGGGTTGGGAAGATCCCCTGGAGAACGGAAAGACTACCCACTCCAGTATTCTGGCCTGGAGAATTCCATGGACTGTGTAGTCCATGGGGTTGCAAAGAGACACGACTGAGCAACTTTCACTTCACTTTTCATACCTTTATCTACACACACACACATATATATATCCATCTCTTTGTTTCAGGAAAGAGAGGAACTGACTGCAAAAGATATTAAGTCACCTTAAATTTGGTTTAGGGTTTGATATGATATCTATAAATAAAACAAGTGATAGAACTTTCAAATGGGTAGATCTGAAAATGTTGATGGCTTCCAGGGAACTCTGGTGTAGAGGTTACAGAAATAGAAGGTCTCATGAAAAAAGTGGCTCCGAACTCCATCACTAAGGACAAAGTGTGAGCACAGAACATGGAGCAGGTCAAACTGTGTCAATGCCCCCCTGGAGAATCCAATCCCAGGGAGACTCAACCCGGGATCCTAAACCCCCTCCCACACCCCAAGCTGCGACATCCTGAGCGGCCCCGAGACGCTCCTTGCCGTTTGGGAAACCACAGTCGGAAGACAGCCAAGCCCTGGCAGAATGGCTTTGCCACGTATGGAGGAATGTTTCACTTGTGACTTACTTCCAACTTTCTTCCCCGTGGTCAAGCTGCTTGTAAAATCAAAGAGGTTCTTTCGCCCATATGCCAGACTCCTCTGGCCAGAAAGCCTGGTCTCTCTGGAGACAGAACTATGTCCACCAAAGTGCTCAGAAAAGCTGACTGTGCTCTTGACACCCGGATGCCCACAGGGCGTTGTGTTAGTGGTTCATGGTGCCAGCCCCAGAGAGGGACTTCCCTAAGGAATGTTCTAGTCAGCAGGATCAGCGAGGAGTGCCGTTCTCAGGCTTCCGGAGCTTGCCTCGAATACAGATGGTGCTGGGTCTGGTTTAAAATGTTCAAACGCTAACTAAGAGCTTCACAAACCTACAGTCTGAGGAACTCGCATTTAGGTGGGAGTTTTGAAATTTGAGGTCTACATAAACTACAGTTTAGGCTATTTTTAGTTCAAGTTAAAGATCACTTGACTGAAGAAATTTCATGTTATTTTAGGTTGATGTCTGTGGTAACATTATGTTTAACAGGACATGCAGCATTAAGCACACACAGCAACTTTAACCCTAAGTGACTGAGATTAAGGACACAGATGGGTCTCATGGCACATGTGGTCCAGATTTATCAAACACAATGACTTCATGGCCTTGAGTAGACTTTATCTTAAGACAAAAGAACACGGTGCTTCCAAATCTGCTTCAGGAAATCCAATATATACCATGTGGGAAGTCTGAAAGGCAACGCACCCCCCTTGCTGGCTTCACTGAAATCCTGGAAGGCGCAGGACATACTCGGTGTTCTGGGGCTGGTACCCATGCCATTGTGGAAACTTCAGTTTTACCTGGTTCAGAGCCTGTCCCGTGGATGCTTGGGTGTTTTGATGTCAGGTTTGTGACCTGGGCTGCCTCCCTTTATAGTACTCTAGGCTGGGTTTGTGAAGTAAGTGCTTGGGCGGAATAAAAGACCCCAAAAAGGTTCCCATGAAGGCAGTCTCTCCAGGGAAGGGGTTGAGGCTGGCTTGAGTCCTGCTTCAACTGTTCCCGGGGAACACTGCCTGCCGGTCCCTTTTCAATAAATGTTTACTATTTGAAATAACAGGAAAGGCCCACAGCAGTTTCCAGGAGATCATCACTGTTGATTAATAAAATAATAATAAACACCTCCAACATTACTCTAGAAGGGAAATTCTTTACTACCACTACCTATGTGCCAAGAACCAGACTACCCTCAACCTAAAGCTACTCAGAAACTTTACCTTCAAGGATTAAAAGTCACCAGGGGTACCAGGCTGCACTCATTTATACAAGTTGAACAATAGGGTTGATTGTCATGATCATCAATAACCCCATTTATAGGGAATACAGCATCCATATTCTCTCACCTCAGAGAAGTTGTTTTTATTTTTAGATAGGAAACTGAGCTCATCAACTTGCAGGGACTCAGGAACACTGTAACTACTAGAGTAGACCTAGGGCCTCCACCCTAGGTCCCCAGAATACAAATAATCCCCAAACACCATGGAGTTCTGAATCACTAATGGATAAAGAATAACCAAAATAATGTTGGTGTTAAGTGCATTTTGCTAAAAAGGATAACAGCATAGTAGGTGAAAATGGATAAGGAACATCAGAGTATACAGTACATATCTCTCTTAGATAACCAGAGCACAGAAATCAAAAAGCACTCATGTTCTTGGGTTTACATAGATGTGATTTTGATGTCAGTTATGTAAGTCACGTCTGACTTTCCCTCAAAGTAGTCTTGCCTAGGATTTGCATGTGTGAGTGTATAAACATATACATATACCTACACACACAAGATCCATTTCAAGCAGGCTTTAAACTTTTAATTCAAGTAATTGGGATGAAAGAAAAAGAGAAAGAAAAAGGAACAAAGCACAGGCGACTCTATCCCCTACTCGGGTTAATGAGTGTGCGCGTGTGTGTACAAGCGCAAGCATGCATGTGACCATGCACCCGTGCGAGGACAGAAGACAGTCGGCCATCTGCCATTCTCTCAGGGTCTGGAGGCCTCTCTCTGTGACAACAGCATCACTCTGAGGGTGACTCTGACGCTTCACGAAACAAATTTTTCACCCAACAAGGCCACAAGGTGTGGAGTCTTGATGCATGAAGTTCAAATTTTGTTTGATGCTCAGAGAAACAGCTGTCACTTCCAACAGTGTTGGGGAGACTGG